GTTCCAAATAAATATTTTCTCAAGAAATGTTGTTACATGACAGATCTGGGTCTTTAGTTTGCGAACTCCATGTGATGCCCAGATAAAAAATCGAATAAATAGTCGAAATAGCTGCCTTAGTTATGACATTTAAAATAGCCTAGAAAATTGCACGGAAGAAAATTGTTTTCTGTTTTTGATACACCGCGAATTGTAACATTCTACCATTAAAGTAGATGTCATAGAAAAACCCTATATATCCATTGTAGTCTGATTTTCTCCAGTATAGAGTTATCTCCCATATTCCATTTCAACAAATCTGAGAGAAAAATTGTGTTGCCCCAACAGAAAGGCGACAAAAACACACTGGAAACCCGATAATCTCAGTAACACAGAATTAATGTTAATGATACGGTGGTATTTATGTTATGTCCGTGGTATCATATTTTGTTTGTGATTTCTGTAATTTTTTGGTATGATAATTTGTGACCTCCGTGGCATGATATTTCATATGTGACGTCAATGGTATGATGTATGATATTTATTATGTGATGTATGATATTTAATTTGTGATGTCCATGGTATGATATATAATATGCGACATCCATGGTATGATACTTATTTTGTGATGTATGATATTTAATATGTGATATCCATGGTATGATACTTATTTTGTGATGTATGATATTTAATATGTGATGTCCATGGTATGATACTTATTTTGTGATGTATGATATTTAATATGTGATGTCCATGGTATGATACTTATTTTTTGATGTATGATATTTAATATGTGATGTCCATGGTATGATACTTATTTTGTGATGTATGATATTTAATATGTGATGTCCATGGTATGATACTTATTTTGTGATGTATGATATTTAATTTGTGATGTCCATGGTATGATATATAATATGCGACATCCATGGTATGATACTTATTTTGTGATGTATGATATTTAATATGTGATGTCCATGGTATGATACTTATTTTGTGATGTATGACACTTAATTTGTGATGTCAATAGTATGATATTTAATATGTGATATCCATGGTATGATACTTATTTTGTGATGTATGATATTTAATATGTGATATCCATGGTATGATACTTATTTTGTGATGTATGATATTTAATATGTGATGTCCATGGTATGATACTTATTTTGTGATGTATGATATTTAATATGTGATGTCCATGGTATGATAGTTATTTTGTGATGTATGATATTTAATATGTGATGTCCATGGTATGATATCAAATTCGTTACGTCGGTAGTATGATATTCATTTCTGAAGACCATGGAATGATATTTAATTTGTTACGCCGTTAATATGATATTTATTTCTTCGTGATTATATGAAATTGATACGTCATTAGTATGATATTTTATTTCTGACCACCATGATATGATATTAAATTTGTGACGTCTGTGGTGTCATATTTATTTTGTGAAGTTTGTACTGTGGTATATAATGTGTGTTGCGAAAAAAGTANATTTTTGGGTCAAAAGAAT